ATTAGGTGTTATAAAATGGATTGAATTCATTAAATCAATAGAATAATCGGCCAGTTCTGTAGGATAGGTACGTACTATTGCATATTTACTAATGTGGTTTGTTAAAACACAGATTTAAGGGGTGCAACAATAGTAAATGTATAATTATTCATGTGCTGCTATTTTAATATATATTATCTTTCTAGTACTTGACCAAATAATTATATCAGTCTATAAGTATCAGTTATTTGTTGTAAATAATTCTCGACAGGCTATGAATAGTAGGAAAAGCAGTATCGTCATCTGCCAAACTAGACCATGCTAACATATATATATGATAATTTCTAATAGTAAGGGCTAACTTGGAAGTAGTCTTTGAAGATAAGGGCAGTTCAATTAAGAATCCGTAAAGTTTACCAGAAGTTTACATTTATTCGAATGGAGGCAAATAATATTCATTCTCAATATGGTTTAGTGGGCCAATGACTTTGTGTGTAGCTAATTCATAATGGATTTTCCAAAGGATATTAAGATCCCTCTTGATTATAAGCAACTCCTGTTCTAAAAAAACGGCGCTTGAAATCCGTTTGTTTAGGCAAACAATTCGAATACAACATTTGTGCAAAATGCTTCAGCAAATCACACTTTAAGGCTAGAAATCCTAAATAATTTCTTTAAGAAAACACAGGTGACAACCAAAATAAAGCAATTCCAAGAAGGCTTTCCTTTGTGAGTAGCACTTCGTACTTGCCCTGTTTGTGCAGTCAATACGAGTTCAAACAACCAATAATCAATTCAACTGCCGGTTTATGTAACCTATGCAAAGATTAAGAACCTCAACGATCTTAAGATGGGAGAGCTGATTGCATTACTCACTGGTGCGAAGAGCGCAACACTTATGTGTAATTAATTGCAAAAAATTGTGCTAACATTTGTGTTAAACCTAATGTTGTCAAAGGCTACTGAAGTTAAAGCGTAGAAAACAGGACAATACCTGCGGCTACTGAAGTTAAAGCGTAGAAAACAGGACAATACCTGCAATTGGTTGCATAAATAAGCTAAAGTCTAGTATGAGGCCATCCAGCAGCGTTATCGGAAATACTTCGCAGCCGAGACACAAATAAATTTCTCTAAGAAGACCTCTGAGTCGAGTACTGCAATGTGAGCTGCTCGACCTATGAAGGCATCCGTCGAGTTAGGCAGGCTATGGTGAATGTCGTAGCGGACCACTGTTGTACGCGGTGATTTTATCAGTCTTTGCAAGATGTTGTTTACCATTTCGGTATATATAGATCCTATAAAAGTATTAAAAAAGTATGGTTTATAAAATACAAGAAATATAGTAAAAGGTATCTGGCCAAGTAATTCAAATAACTAAAAAGATTTATTTTTCGAAAACCAAAAGTTCTTTATATGTAATTATATTTGTTTTTCGCTTTTATGATCAGAGTTTCGAGACTACCAGTAAATGAGATGTATTCACCCTATTTCGTTTAAGGTGATGAAGGGCTGGCAGTTGAATTTTACCACAACAATATGAGTAGAGCTGATGTTTCCATTGAATTTCACACATATTTGCTTTCCTAAAAGTTGTTCTCATTCAGGGTTGGCTGTAGTTTAGACTTCGCATAGGTTTTATCAACACCCCCAACAGGAGTCGAACCATGACAGTGCAGCATATAAGCTCGACACGATAATCACTCCGCCACATTGCCACGAGTGCCCTTGGGTTACAGGGCAGATGTAAATTTCAGGAAAGGGCATTTTCTCATATCACATGCTTCCTCACCTTAAAGCAATAGGGTGAATAGATGCCATATAATTATTGTCGTGTCCATTCAACTTCCAAACTAGGTGAAAATGTGACTGCTTTTGTAGTTAAGATCCTTTAGGGCAAAAATTACGAAATAAGGTCATCCTATTGAGGAAATTACGTATAAGATATACATGTCCAAAGCTTTTCAAATTATAAACCTCCCCTAGGCGAATTAATGAAAATTTGCTATAATTGTAGCAACACTTTGACTCCTGAGTCAAATAGGACTAGGTTTCTATGGAAATGCTGCTATTCTCGGCATAGAAGATTGACTACAGGGTAGGAAACTGTTGACGCTGTATTCGGCACCAGAAGAAAATAAGGTTGATCCTTCAAAGCGAGTCAGTATTCTGATTTAGGCTAAATGTTGGCAGAATATATGAAGGCCAAGGTGGTGTGGCCCAAGGTATGGTCGCAGTCTCCTTTCGATTTATAGAAGTTGATCTCGTTATCGCAACTTGGTCTTGTTGCCAAGGCGACTTAATAGAACGCACCTATTCCGAAGTCCTCTACCATAGTAGTTATCGTAATTCCAAGCATCAGACAGTGGACTTGGTACATTGTCACAACGCTTCGTCGGCATCATCGGTGAGTGCTGCCATTCTCAGCACCGAGCTACGAACTCGTCAAAGAGACAGGGGAAGTCGATCCCTCGACAAACGTTCTGCCGAAAACTGTTACACTATTACTCCTCTTTCTGTAACCGC